CCCCCCTCCCCCCCTGAGTGCACAAATTTTTGTGCACCGGGCCTCTAGTTCTATGATAAGCTTTCTCATGAATTTTTAAATATTTCTCTCTACATAACTTTGGCATTCAATAGTAATAGAATTGTTCACTCCACACTGCTTTTTTACTTCTTTGGGAATTGTTAAAAATATATGTAAGGAGTCCGGCCAGTGTGGCTCAGGGGTTGAACTGTTGACTCAGGAACCCGGAAGTCAAAGTTCGATTCCCAGTCAGGGCACATGCCCGGGCTGTGGGCTCGATCCCCAGTAAAGGGCGTGTAGGAGATAGCCAATCAATGATTCTCTCTCATCATTGATGTTTCTGTCTCTCTTTCCCTTTCCTTTCCTCTCTCTGAAATTAACAAAAACGTATTTTTTAAAAATACATGTAAGGAAATAAAATATGTACCAAGTAACATGTTGCTAGACTGAATCTTAAATAATTTGGCTTGCAAAATTTGAATTACAGGCTTTAGTTCATTTACCAAAAACAGAAATAAGTACCACTATCTCCTTTAATTTATAAGTGTGTTTTACAAATCATTTGCTTCTTTAATTTAAAACAATATTCAGAATGGTATGGGATTTTGTGTACTACATTTCCAAATCATAGTGTATATGATTATAGGACTTTTTGCAGTCTATAGTGAGAGCCCCAATTCAATTTCATTATCTTAAGTAACAATCTATAAAGAAAGGGAGAAATAAAAAATTTAAAAATCATACTGAAAACATCATCAAAATACAACAAGGTGGCATGTTTTCTAGCAGATCTTGCCACACACACATACACACACACACACACACACACACACACACAGAAAAAAAACAGTTACTTTAAATCCACTTTTATTTTTTCATAGATTTTAACAATTATGCACAACTTTTCACATAAAGAGAGTGAAATCTCAAGGATGAGGAGGCAATATATATGTATGGTCTCTTCTATTCATTCTTTAGGATGGAAGGAAATTTCTAAAGGGCACAATGTGTGAGATTTAACACTGGAAAAATACTTAAGAAACTTGTTTAAATGGCTCTACTTAGGACCAGGCACAGCACAATAAATACAGAACTACATCATTTTTAAAAGACTGTTGCAATTTTAACACATTCGTACTAAAGAAATATGATCAGTGACCAATCTGAATTCTACAACATATAGGTGAAGGGACACTTAAAATGAATATCTGAGCATAGTTTCTCTAGCATTTTCACACCCAAACATCAACATTCTTAAAAAGTAGTAAAGAACGTATACTGCAAATTCAGAACTACAAAAACAAAACAAAAAAAACCCCCGAAAAACTTGGTCAAACTTTCTTTATCCTATTATTCATTCCCATCACAATTCTAGTTTGCTGTTAAATTTAAGGTAGATAAGAAAGTTTTTGAAATTATTTTAATTTCCACTGGTCTTAGGGCTTCTGGGTAGGAGGCCACATTGGAAGCCAACTGATTAAGCAGCACCATTAAGTCCACACCTCAACAAACCATTGCAAAATTTTTATCTTCCAGTATTCTGAAAGGTTATAAAAAGTTGTATGGAAGAATACCTGTCCTGAACTGTAAAAACATACAATTTGCAAGGATTTAAACAAACTAGAGCTGAATTCTCTACTGCCTGCATCTTTCCTTATCAGAACAAAAGAACTACATTACCTAAAAATTTAAATAACAACATATTAAGGCATAAAATAAATACTTTATTTATGCTATTACATTGGGGTATTTGAGATTGTTAGACACGTTCACATGCCCTTTCCTCTCAGAAAGAGGAAGGAATGGTGCCAGCACTGTTGGTCAGAAAGAGTTAATGGAAAACTGTTGCTCTCGGCTGTTCTGTGATGAGCCTTATTGTACAAATACTTAAAAGACAGACAGAAATGATCTTTTTTCACTTGACTCAGATTCTGCTATCAGCAGATACAAGAATCAATTTTATCCCTATTAAACCAAATGGAAACTGTTATGCTGCTATGGCTACAGATATTCTGAGGACTCTTGTGAGCAAATGAATCAAAACCCACATGAAAGAAAGTATTATTTTCTATAATTAGTAAACTGGTTGTTCAAAAATTCAATAAGGGAACAAACATGTGAACATATGACACACGCTATTATCTTGAAAAAACATAATGCCACTCTGGTCCCAAGGATCACGATAGCCCAGCCGGTCCTTAAATGTGCAAACAGCCTTTAACTACTCCTAAATATCTTCTTCGTGACATTTTAGTGTCCATCACACTGCCACATGATTCTTAGAAGCTCAGGCTTCTAAGATGTTTGAGGAAAAGAAAAAGGGTATAATGGGGATCAAGTTCTTGGTGATTGTTCTAAATGTAATTTTAAAAAGACTTTCCTAATAATGCAGAATAGTCCTTGATACTGAATTTTTCCTAGTGAGACAAAATAAGCTTTAACAAGACGATGTTAATCTAAATTTGACCATCTGGCTCCTTTTTCACTTTTTTAGAGGGTACTGATCCATATATTATGCTGAGCCCCCAAAATGCCTGTTTTAAAAACAACATAGTTCCTAACAGTTCCCCATAAATATTCCTGATTTATGCTGGGGAAGCAATGCAAAACTGAAACATTAATCATTTATGTTATTAAAAAAGCAAATATTTCTTGCAAAGCAGTTACTTAGCAAAATGCTAAGCTGCAAATAAACTTGCCATGTAGACAGATATCAAATCATTTCACAAAGTACCTGTCACAATGTAAAGAAAACTGACCTTTCATCCCCAATTCACTGCAAAGACAGTACATGCAGTAGTCTTGTTTAAATTTAGTGGCGATGAGGAAAGGGCAAACCTAGGACAAGGAGGGACGTCAGCCTACATACAAATTTACAGTAGTGTAGCCATTGTATATCATATTTTCTACATTCACCACTTTGGAGAAAGGAACACTGGAACAAAGGAATGTTTTGTATAAGACCTACAAAATAAACAGGGAAACAAATGATAAGAGGCATAAAGCTGCACTAGTCTCAAAGCTGCACAGTAAAGCAGCAAAAGGTTTGAGATGGGAAATTTAGGAAAATATACACATATGAGAGCTTGCTGAGGAAAAGGAAGGAAGAAATCACAGTTCTAATCTTCAAGGCTACGAAATGCATTCTGCATGTCTTCAAGAAGCTGTGCATAGTCGGCCTTGATCTTTGCCTCACCATCTTTCACTGGATCCTGAAAAAAGACATGACAGAATTCAATTTACATTTGGGAAATAACTTTCAGAACATGTAGTAAGTTGCTTATATTTAATATATTTTGAGTACTAGGTTAATTGAGGTACACTGGTAAACAACAGGCAGGAGTGAAAATTATCCTTATTTCCCTTTTTTTCTTTTAAGGGTAGAAATGTGTAAATGGTGTAATACCCCAACCAAACAGAAATAAAATTTCAATATTGTATTTTGCCTACTAACTGTACTCAATGACCAATAATTTATCCTCAACAACATGCAAAATATTGGAAAATTATGCAGCATCACATATTAAATGCATTTCACTGCATACATAATAGTTGGAATTAATTTAGTCAAACTAGACATTTACTATTCAATGTCTAATAGAATTACATTGAGACACGAAAGTAAGATTTCTAAAATAATCTTAAAATGCACCACAGTTAAAATCCTTATGGAAAGCAACTTAATTGAGTAACATGTATAAAAAGACTTTAAAATGCTTAAGCTCTCTGACACAATCATTCCACTTCAATCATTCCACTTCTGGGAATCTATACTAGGAAAATTCACAAAGCTAACTGCATGAACAAAGTTGCTATACCAACAACTGGAAATTTCCTAAGTGCTTAAAAATAGGAGAATATTACTCTCCAGCAACAAAATAATGCTACAGAAGAAATGTAATGACATTAAAAAGCAATTGTGATGTTGCCCTGGCCAGTGTGGTTCAGTTGGTTGAGCATCATCCCATATACCAAAAGGTCATCGGTTCAATTCCCGATCAGGGCACATGCCCAGGTTGCGGGTTTGGTCCTGGTATGGGTGTGTACAAGAGGCAACTGATCAATGTTTCTCTCCCTCTCCCTCCTCTCTCTCTGAAAATCAATAAAAAAAATATTTAAAAAAAGCAACTGTGATGTTAATTTGATACAATGTGCATGTAAATAAAAAAAAGATATTACCTTTAATCACACTACCAGAAATCATCACTATTATTATTACATCCATATTTTTTATCTTGTTCCTATAAATATTTAATTTTTGAAAATAAAATTTGAATCAAATTATATATAGAATTTCTTTGCAACCTGATTTCCTCCTTCATTACACCATAAGCATTTCCCCATGTCTTTGAATATTCTTTCAAAAGAAACATGTAATGACTTGATAATATTCTTATCATAATGCACATGCCACATTGTACTTATCCACTCTTGGATGACATTTAAGAAGTTTAATAAACAACCTTGGACATAAATCCATATGAAAATCTGATTATTTCCTTGGGTTATATGCTTTGAAGTAGAATGACAGGACTCAAGGGTATGAATATTTTAAAATTCTTGATTCAGTGAGTGTCTATTGTACAGGTTTACTTTCAACCTTTGTGCAAACACCACC